AGCTACTCTACTTTGTATTGGACCTTGTAAATAAAAACCCAGCTCAACACTCAAAATTTAGATGGGATTTTTTTTCTTTCACAAATCAAAACTGGCAAAAACACTTAATATATAAATAATACTGGCTGACAATGATAATAAAATAACCTTGTGATGTGTGATGACTTTCAGCTTATCTTAATTCAATAGGTAGCCTTATAAAGAAGTATAATTTCATCAAAGCAGTCAATCTTGATGACTTATCCATTGTTGGTGAAACATGTAGCTCCCTACTAGACTATGATCTTTTAAATTTTCTATGGAGAACTTTGGCTTTCATGAGTAGGTTGCCCTTCACACTCATAAGGAATTGTTTCTAATGGAATAAAATTAACAAGTTTGTATGACAGGAGAGTTAGAAGATGAGAGGAGCCAAGAAAACGTCCCTCACGTTTCTTCAGTTGACAGGTGTCTCGCCTTTGATCTCCTTCTCCCTGTCCTTCAATTCAGTTACCAAGATAGGAACAGAGAATTTCTATGGTGTCCCTAATAAAAACTTTTATGACTTACAGCCATGGAGCTCCCTTTGCTGATAACAGTTTAAATGTGCCAGTTGCAGAATTACAATGTATGTTGAATATCAGAACTCACTGGTCTTATGTGAAAGAACTGACTAAGAACGAGTGAGACCTTAAAACTTGGGATGGGGTATCTGGGTAGACTCAGCAGCTGAGAATCTTGAACCCCAAGCCATCTGAGCCTCTCTTGACAGTTCAAATACAAATGGTCTATTCTTCCTGTCTCTAAGATTAGTCTTCCCTGTTTGAAGATCCTGTAATAAAGCCATAGTAAAGTAAGGGTACCCTTTGTGCAAGAGAATTACTCTTCTCATAACCCAATTCAACCATACATTATGGCCATCCACAAAGGCTTAGCTCACAGCATTATCTGAGGGAACAGAGCACAGTCTGAACCATAAACTAATAACTAATATATAAAAGTAATTGCAAAATTTGCTACTTTGCATTGATAGAGAAATATGTGAGTGTTAGACCAAAGAAAACAGACTATAATACCAGATGAACTATTTATTTATTTATTTATGCAATTCTAGGATTTGAACTTAGGGCTTTGACCTTGTGAGGCAAGTGCTCTATTGCTTGAGGCACACCTCCAGCCCTTTTTGCTCTGGTTATTTTGGAGATAGAGTCTCACTTTTTGCCTAGGTAGGCCTGGACCATGATTCTCCGATTTTATTCTTCTTGCTGCTGCTGGGATGACAGGTACACACCACCACACCCAGCTCTTTTTCCACTGAGATGAGGTCATACTGGCCAGACTGGCCTAGAACTGCAATCCTCCCAATCTCGGCCTCCTTTAAGATGATAGTCTGCATCTCTGTGCCCAGCCACTGGTTGAGATGGGTTTCTGCCCAGACCAGTTTCAAACTGTGATCTTCACATTCTCAGCCTCCCAAGTAGCTATGATTACTTACAGGTGTGAGACATCGGCACCAGGCTCCAAATTTGTTTATATGATTCACTTACCAAAAATTAGGATTTAATGGTTAGTTCATTTAGCTTGAAGAGGCTTAAGCAGTTAACATGTTTGGATGACTGAAACTTGGGCTCCATGATAGAATGCATTTAATGAGATTAGGAGGTCACAACTTCTCCAGAATAAGGCAGAGGCAAAGATCTAAAAGCTTAAGGAGATTAGAATGTTAGAGTGGATTTACAACTTGTACATACTTATGCCCCCAGAGGATACTTTCATAACTAAAGTTCCATCTTCTTTACAGGAGTGACAATTATAGGACAACAGGTTATTATTCTGGATCCTTTATTACCCTACCATCACAAAAATCACCACACTGCCACAAAATAAGAACCTCTCTAGTGTTCTTTAGCACTTTGTTTTCTTTGTGGCTTTTAGTATAAACTGCAAGCACTTCACTTATTTGTTTTATTATTTTGTTTGACTTGGTTTGGGTTTTTGGTTTTACCCAGTTGTTTTCACTGCACTAGAGCCAGCTGTCAGAGACTGCATCCAATTTTCTCATCAATGTATCTCAACTGCCTAGATAATACCTAGTACACAGCATTCAATAAAGATGTGTACAAGGCATAACAAAGAAATGTAGAGCTGTCTTGTCTCTTTCAACATTAAATTGTGGTCCTTCCCTTCTCCTGGACTAGATATGTTCATGAAAACATTATTCTCCTGAAGAGATGGTTCATATCTCAATTAAAAACATGTACTAATTTATAAATCTCCTGGGTTTCAGCATATGACATGGTCTGCTGATATTACCTCTCCTATTAAATTCACATTATGCCCCAAAAAAACAATCTTTTCCAGGATTTAACATGGAAAAAATTCCTTTTAATAAAGATCAATTTAGTCTCTTTACCATCTGCTCATAAAGTATGTGAACAGGATCCTAGAATCACATTTCTGCCAAGTCACATGTCACATGATTATCACAAGTTAACCAAATTCTCAAAAATCATTAAAGCATGCTTTCTGACTTATTGAGCAAATTCTGTACAGACTGGAGCTCTAACTGAGAGTGTCATAAGGTAGCTTGCCTTATTTCTTTATTAAAGAGATGGTGGAGTCATTCATATCACAGCACTTTAAAATTCAACATTCCATTTCATCAAAAGCTTCCATTTTCTGTCTGAACCTTTACTTCTAGCAACTAGCAGTTGTTTTCATTAAGAATGAATGAACACACACAAACACAACATTTCTATCACTTTAAGTGTTATTATACGTGACTACAAGTAGCTAAGAATGAACTAGTACTCAGATCCAGGCAGGATGTTAAGTTCACCTTCTATTTTGTAACTACTTTAGATTCATTAGAGTCATGACTTAATTCATATTCACACTTCAGGAAAACTGAAAAATGGTATGTGTCTTGGACCTTAGGGATTGTGTTTGCATACTTGAAATTTTGAATGTTAAAAATCTCGAAATGCCAAAAGATCTACTAACTATATACCATATGCTCAGTTTTGTAAAGATCTGTGCTCTTAGCCAGGTTTAAAATTGTTTTGAAAAAAAAAAATTTAACATATTTAATATTGGGAATCCCCAATAAAAATCTGTTTGGGAACCTGGGGTATAGCTCAGTATTAGAGCACAAATTACCATACGTGAGGCCCTGTGCTCAATTCCCAACACCACCCCTAAAAATCTGTTTTTTATGTAAAGATGAAGTGTACCTATGTGTCCAGAAAAAAATAATAATCAAAACATATGCCTCATAAGGCTGTTGGAAGGATCAAAAGAGATATATGTGAAGGAATAAATAAATAATAAAGCACTATGTCAATGTTAGTAGTAGGTGGTAGTGTTAATAAAATATAGAAGAAAACATCTCATCTGAATTGGGACAATTTGTTAGTTCCATTCTCTAAGAAGTTAGTTAGAAAGAAATCAAAGAGATACATAGATGTTGTACCCATTTTAATTTGAATCAGGTATAAATGTAATTTATTCCCCAATCCTGTGTGTCAGGTCAAGGCCTTGTCTTTCAGATTAGCTCTGCAAGGACTGGCAGAGTGGCTCAAGTGGTAGAGTGCCTGCCTAGCAAGCGTGAAACACTGAGTTCAAACCCCAGAACCACCAAAAAGAAAAAAAAGAGATGAGATCTGCAAAATGGAATTCCTTAGTCTTCCCTGCATGAATCACATCACCCATGTGTCATCGATAATTGAAGTTTCAGTTCTTTTAAAGTATATAGCACATATGAAATGACTGAAGAACAAATTCTCTCTTACTTTTTATAAGCTTTCCAATACTTTATATTTAACTTGGTCACACCTAATTTGAAATCAAATTTCTGAGAGAACTCACTTTCCTCACTTTTTTTTTAAATGAGATTGGTATTTGAACTCAGGGCTTCAACTTGCAAAGCAGGTGCTCTACAGCATGAGGCACACCTATAGTCCATTTTCCTCTGATTCTTTGGAGATAGGGTCTTACAATCTATTTGCCTGGGCTAGCTTCGAACCCCAATTCTCCCGATCTCAGCCTCCCAAACAGCTAGGATTACAGGCATGAGCCACCAGCACCGGACATCATTTTCCACACTTTTCAAAAGAGCATTCAACATAGTTTTAAAGAAATCTCTTTTTCATACCAATATTTCATCATTTTACACAATATGCAACCAATGTACCCAGCATAAGTCTGGTAACAAACACAACTGGTTCTTACTACATAAACAATTTGACTTGTGCAAGTACAAGCATACAAGAATCACACTAAGAAACTTGCTGGTTGCAGATAATCAGCATACAGGGGACATGAGTCAGTATGTTTTACTACGGAAATCAACAACACTCATTTATTATTCAGGTTGGTTAAGCAGAAGTCAGTTAAGAGTCTTTGCCATTGATATAATTCAGGTGTCAAGACCAGTGGATTACAAAAAAAGTTTAAAATAGTTCCATTGTCACAGGTGGATGCTACTTTTTATATTTGTTCTTAGCACATGTGTCATGCATTTTAGAGGCACTGAAATCAAAATAGTAAAAAATATTCAAGAATACTTAAGTAAAGAAATGGAAAGGGAATCAGGTATTTCAATAAAACATGATAAAATAATCAGATAATTTGACTCTTAAGAAGAGAACCAAATGAACCAGTAAAAAGCAACAAACAAATTTTAATAATCCTAAAATAATTTTATGAAATTATTTTGAAAGATTAATTTTTAAAAATTAAATATAAAATTGTAATCCCAGCACAGGAGAGGCTGAGGCAGAAGGGTCTCAGGTTTCAGGCCAATATGGCCTACACAGCAAGTTCAAGGCCAGCCTGGGCTGCACAGCGCAGGCTGTCTCAAAACAAAGATGGTCCATCTTTAAAACAATGCCATTATCTGTATGTAAAGGAAGTTTTTTTGAAGCCTAAATAAATGTCAATGCTACATATCTTCTTAAAACATTAAACTTAGATTCACTGTCTTCCTTTTGTAATAATGGACATTTAATGTGAAAACTTACTTATCTCGCTGGAAACCTGATTCAATTTATCCTGTGATCTGCTGATTAAGACAATCTTCATTCCACGCTTTGCTAACTGAAACCATAAAAAAGACTTAAGTCATACTTGTGCACTTTATTTAAAAATATAAATTAGCTATATACCCATTTTAAGAAAACCTGACCAGGTAATAATTGAAATTAAAAAATAAATACAAGTATAATGAATAGGCAATCCAAAGTGAAGGTTTTATAGGAACAATTCCACAAATATTTTCTTTCTAATCAAGTATCAAAGCTCAGATGGTTTTAGAAAGAGACTGAATTTTATTTTTCACTGGATTTGTCTATATTGTTTGGGTTTTTTTAATTGTTGGGTGTCTACTACTTATTTAATTTAAAGCTTACCTTTAAAAAAGTTTTTGTTGTATACTGGATCTATAAGACAAAGATCGGAGGACTGGCATAGAGAACTGCAATTAAATGTTAGCAATTCCTAAAAATGTATCAGGTTTTAAATCTTGATTTGGGCATTATAATTTATGGATAAGCAAGACAAACTAAGGTATTTATTGAATAAATTAGTTAAGAATTCCCTGAGATCCGCATTCTATCTGGACCTAGCACTGTAAGTGTTGCACAGAACGAAAAAGATTTACAGGAATGTGCTTCCCACCTGAGACATATAAACACGAGGGTAGAGTAAAAACCACTGACGTGCACAAAACTTCTTAGTGCACTATTCCAGACACTTTATAAATGAGCAAGACACTGGGTTTGGCGAGCTATAAAAGATTTAGTAAACTAATATTCCAGTCTTAAATCCTAAAGTCGGTTCTTATTAAGTAATGAGTGGTATTGCAAATGAAGCTACAGAGGATCATTTTTTATAAAAATAACAAAGCTTGGTAATTTGCTAGATTAATCTGCTATAAAACCTCCAAAGAATCCATTAGGCCATACTGAGACTAAAAAAAAATTTTTAACAGGAGAGGAGGGATAGGAAAAAGCTCTTATTTATAGAAAAATATCATTTAATGAATGAAGGAGAGATATCATTAGAAACAAATCATCATTTTTAACTATGGCAATAACTAATTTAGACAAAAATTATCAATGGCCCTTAAAACTATTGAATAAAAGATTGCAGGGAGATAGGATATTTATAGTCTCAAAGTATCATCTCATATATTCCTTATTAATGACCTTTTATAATAGAGAATTATGGTAGACAGTATCTTATTATTTACCTTACCATAATCAATGATGGAACAAATGCACTTCTTTGTGCCTCTTGATAAGATGGACTCAGATGGGGAAATTTCATTTGGATATCATTTGTGCTAAAAAATGTTTATCCTGGGGCTGGCAGAGTGGTTCAAACAGTAAGAGCGTCGTCTGCCTAGCAAGAGTGAGGCCCTGACTTCAAATCCCAAATCCCAGTGCCACCAAAAAAAGCCCACAATTTTGTCCTGACTCTAATAATGAGGATACAATCAAATTTAAATTTGTCTGCAAAATACTGGCTTGGCTGGGTTTTTTTTGTTTTTTTTTTTTTCAAAGCTGGGAATGCAGCTCAATGGTAAACTCTTTCTCTAGGATGCAAAGAGGCCCTGGGTTCAATCTCTAGCACCACACATAAAATGAAAAGGTGTCACTGTTATAAAAGACAAAAAAAGGCCGAGGAACTCTTAATGGAAGCTAAGATACATGCATGACACCAAATGCAACCCACAATCTTTAATCGGGAGGAGGGAAGGAGGAGCTATACTGGACATTACAGGACAACTAGTAAACTTGCATATGGGCTCTATGTACCGTGTCAAGTTAAACTTCCTTTGTGTGAGCACTGCATTACAGTGAATGTTTTAGTTCTTAGAAGATTTAAGATCTTAGAAATATTTAGAGGTGAATTGTTAAGATTTCTGTAACTAATTTGTGAGTGAGCCAACCAAAAATCAGTAATAATGGCAATCATAATAACTTAAATGTGACAAATGTTAATTGGTGAATTCAGAAGGGTATATGATGCTCAGTGTATTCTTCTTGCAACTTTTCTGCAATTTTGAAGTTCTTCAAAATAAAAAGCAAAAAATGATTTAAAACCAAAAACACAAACAAAAAACATTGCAAACAATAAATAAAAAATTCAATGCATCTGCCAGGATCTTTATCAGAGTTAGGTAAGGGCATAAGCCATAGGTGTCTTTGGCCAAGACTGGTGGGCAGAGAAACTTGTCTCAAGAGCACTGCCAACAGGGACTGGCAGATTGGCTCAAGTGGTAGAGTGCCTGCCTAGCAAGCACAAGATCCTAAGTTCAAGCCCTAATACCACCAAGAAATAAAAAAAACACAAGAGTACTGCCAAAGTTCCTGTTTTGTACAATGGTCTAACTATTATACCCTCCCAGCCTTTACTTACAGTACAGAGGACTTGAATCCTTTATCTACATCTATAGACTAACCACGGTTCTTGTGAAAATGATGCCATAGATTAGCCTGCATATGTGACCACCTATTACATTTCTATCTGTTGGAAAATAGTTCAAAATAATCATTTTTTTAAACTGAGAACTGTCCACACTTAAATGATATAAAATAAAATTACAATAAATTTCTTACAATTCCAACTAACTAGCATAGAAAGCTTTATACTTATTTTACACAGATATTTGCTTTAAATTTTTTTATGTACACAAATGTAGTATTTCTGACAAAACAGAAACAAAGAAGCATCTACTGTACTATATTTGTGTTTTTAACCTCAAAAATCAAAACTGCTATAAGAGATTATTCCATATTTGTTCTTGTTTTTTATATAACAAAAAGATCTTGAAAATCACCTACCTCTTCAGCATATGATTTTCCAATTCCATCAGTACTACCTGTGACAACTGAGAAAGGAAAAGAATGGTTTAGTTAAGAAGTGCGAGAAGGCAGTGGTCACAGTAGAACTCACCAATTAGATTTGTGTAACACTGATATAAAGAGCAGTGCCTCAGCTTGGGTACAGCTCAGGGGTAGAGTGTGCGCTTAGCATGCACAGGCCCAGCAGGATAGGAGAGGGGGAGGGGGAGGGAAAGGGAGAGGAAGAAAGGAAGGAAGAATCCAGTTGTTGAAGTTTAGGGTTGAATACTGATCACAACAGCTAAAATTAAGAAGACTGCAATATCAAGTGTTGACAAGGATGTAAAGCAATTGGAACTCTCATACACTGATGGTAGCACTGTAAACTGACCCAATAATTTTGGAAAATGGATTTGGCATTATGTCTGGAACTAAAGTTATGCTTCCTCTCTATGATCCAGCAATTCCCAAGAAATATGAGAACATCTTGTCTACCAAAAGAATGTTCTCATGGCAGACTCACTTATTTCTAGTAGTATACACGCCTAAATAGTAATCTCCAGAATGAGTAAACTGGCATATAGTCATACAAAGGATACCAAACAGCAATAAACAAAGAACTACTGAACACTGTTGGTGGGAATTGAAAACTAGTGCAGTCACTATGGGAATCAGTATGGAAGTTCCTTAAAAAACTAAAGCTAAAACTACCATATGATCCTGTCTACCAGTTCTGAGCATATAAGGCAAGATACCCATATTTATAGCAGCATCATTCCTAAGAGCCAAAATATGGAACCAGTGTAGGTACCCAACAGCTGGTAAATGGATGGAAAAAAAGTATATATACTTATTTACATATATGCACAATGGAGTATTATTCAGACATAAAGAAGAATGAAATTATGTCATGTGCAGGTAAATGGAGAGAACTAGAGATCATCACATGAAGGGAAAAAAGCCAGACTGAGAAAGACAAAATATCACGTATTATTCTCATGTGCAGAATCTAGTCCTTAAAAATGAATGACAGGAATGTAAAACAGGTTCTGTTTGTGGAGTGAGTACCAGTGGGAAAAGGGAGGAGGAAAGGGGGGGGTGGATATGGTTGAAGTACTACATACACATGTATGAAAACAGAACAATGAAACTTACTGAAATTGTTATAAGAAGGATGGGTAGGAGGAGTGAGAGAGGGTAAATTTGATCAGGGTATATTGTATGCAAATGGAAATACCACAATGAAACCCCTTTGTACAACTAATATATACAAATAGAAAATGGGAAAAAATACAACTGCTATATAGAAAACATGAATGTATCTCTCAGAATATCAGTCACCTTTGGGTTTGGAGGTACATGACAAAGAAACTTCTGGGGTGCAAAAATATTCTATATCTTGACTAAGATGGCAGTTACATCTGTATGTAAATTCATTGAGATGCACACTTACATACATACTTACTGTTTATATCTTAATAAACTAATTTTTTAACTAAAGGTAGGAAAAGAATATGAGCAAAATTTAATTTTCTGCCAGGTGCTGGTGGCTTACACCTGTAATCCTAGATACTTGGGAGGCAGAGATTAGAAAGATTGTGGTTCAAGGGCAGCCCAGGCAAAGACCCTATCTCAAAAAAAATAAACAATACAAAATAGGGCTAGTCAAATGGCTTAAGTGGTAGAGTGCCTGCCTAGCAAGTGTGAGGCCCTGAGTTCAAACTCCAGTACTTCCACAACAAATTTCAGAAAAAGCATGTTTCTCTTATAAACTCAAAAACTTTATGGAGCAGAAACATTTGAAAATTATAATGGTATATTATCCCTAGAATACTGGATCGTGTTTGTTACATGTTCAGAGCATGGATGTCTGCTTCATGAAGGGAGGTTAAAGGAATATAATAGAGGGAACTTGTTCAAAGTACACATCTATGGAAATTAAAACAATGAAACACCCTTGTACTATTAATGTATACTAATAAATAAAGATCAATTATGTCTCCAAACTTCCCTAAATACAAGTTTTTCCACACCATTGATAGATGACGGAAAACAAATTACATTGTAACTTGTAGGATTTTCTGGTATTGATCGCAAAACTATTTCTTTCAAATTATACAAGATGGCCCCAGTTTTACTATTCAGAAATATAGGGAACCCAGCATATTCTTCCTAGCCATATCTTCTATGATCTTATATTTTCATCATCACAGATTTTCCTATTCAGCCATCATCTTTTCAGAATTTTAAAAAATGCTTTAGAGTAAAAAAGTAAAACATACAGAGAGAACCCCCCTTGTACCCATGGCCCAGCTTCACCAGCAATCAACTTGAGATTAACCCTGCTTCCTCTGCACCCCACCTACTTCCACCCCCTCACATTAAGTCAATCTCAAATATGTCACTTCATCCAAAAAACAAATAAAAGAGCAATACTAGTTGTTTAATTTTCTGTGTGTCTGTCTGTCTCTCTTCCTCTCCCCATCCTTTCATCCATTCCTCTTTTCCTCTCTCCTTTTCTTTATTGCTTCCCCCACCTCTGAATTCAATTTATTTGCTGAACATATTATGTCATAGGTTTGTGCTTTTTCACCCTTGCATTTGCTAATTGCATTTCCCTGATCTAATTTTAAATGTTCATCTGTCCTCTAATAGTTTGATATAGGTACTTGATCAAGTTCAGGTTTAATTTTTTTTGGTAGGAGTGCTCCACAGCTGCATAGTTCCATTAGGAGGTACAGGTCTGGTTGTCTTTCTTTTTGTATATTAGCAGCCACAGATGATCACTGCTGTGATCCATTATTTCACTAGGCACTGTGAAATAGTGATATTTGAATTCAATCATTCATCTTCATCTACTAGCTCGAATATCGCCATAGACAACGATTCCTCATTAATTGGTTACCATGATATATATTTCAATTCTTTCACCTATATCAGTTCTCAAAATAAACTGGTTCGCTAGCATTTTCCAAAGGTAACCATGTGGTTTTATCGTTACTAATATTATTAACCTTTGTTGTAGAACCTAGCCATAAGAAATTGAGCATCATATGCAAGTTCCCCCAACATCATGATCAATGCCATTGTGGTTTTCTGTAACTCCACCTCCTGAGTACTTCTGGGGACCCAGGGGTCCAAACCTTACACTCTATTCCTGTTACTGATTCACTAACGCTTCACAGGTGAAGGACAAACACACGCCAACTGTTTGAAATTCTCTCCTTTTCCTTCTCTTTAATAAACTTTCCTGTATTCTAAGATCCTAGAACCTCACTCCTGCCCTGTCCTTTCAAGCTCCACTTCAAGGCAAAGAAACCTTTCTCTCTCTTCAACTCCTACAAATACTTTGCATAGCCTACATGTTCTGCTATTTTACTACTCTCTATTTTAAGTTGTATTATTGTATTTCCTTATATCTATGTGTTTTTTGTTGTTGTGTTTGTTTGTTCTTGAGATATTGTCTCACTCTGTAGGCCTGGCTAGCCTGGAACTCACCATCCTCCTGCCTTACCTCTTCCCACCTCACCTTGCTGGGATCACAGACCATGCCTAGTATGTGATCTTTATTCTTCCATCAGATTCTAGGCTCCTTGCTACATGATGTACACAAGATAGGAACTTAGTGGATATTTGCTGAATGCCCAAATGATGTTCAAGAGTTAGTTTAGTTTTTCAAGCTGCACAGAACACAAGGTTTCAGACTTGCTTTCCTGAGAACTTAGTTTCTCAAAGGTCTTCACTTTACAAGTACAGTACCTTACAGTGACACCTATTAGTCACTGACCTATGTGCAAAGGCTTTTGTACCTAGATTATCCTGTTTAAGACTACAATTGTGGAGCAAGCAAACCATATATGTGATTACCACAATGAATTGATCACAATATCAGATTTCTCACTTTAAGAGTCTTAAAATCCTTTAACAAGAATATGATTAAGAATTAAATTACAGTAAAGTCACTCAGTGTTCTGCATCTGGAATACATTTTAAAGGAATGTAAATAATTATTCTGGGTGTGTGTTTAAAATTGCCAACCCCAGACTGACCTAAGTCATAGCAGACTTTAAAACCAAAACGAGTTCTACAAAGTCCAGGATCTGTCACACCTAGAGATTCTAAAATTGCCCTTTTTCAAATTCTCCAAGTTTTGGAATTTGTAATCAACACTGTTAGTAAACAGTTTAGATCTGGAATGTCCCCCAAAGGCCCAAACCCAGCCTGCCGCAATTGAGAACAGCTAAGGCCTAATGGGAGGTCTTCCAGTCCATGGGGACATTGCCTCTTTTTTTTTGCATGTGGGCCATGCATAATATGAGAAGATTTGCAATGCCAGGTGCCGCTGCTAGCATGTGCTGCCCTCCCTCCAGAGGCCTAAAAGTAATGAGACTACCAAAACTGAGCCAAAATAAACCCTCTACTCTTTGTAAATTGATACTGTTAGGTATTTTTGCAGTAATGGGAAGCTGACTAACACAACCAGTCAGATCCTCTCTTCCAGCACAGAAATACATATTCCATCCTCTCTTGCCAAGAGTGCTATCAGTTCATGAATGAGTACCATCTTCCAATAACTGTCCTCAGCCAAAGGGCTTTGCTGCCCTGGGTAGCACATATCTAATTAGTGGTCTAAACTCAGGAACAAAGGCTAGACTCCCTTGCCTCACTTAGGCTTCTGAGGACTATCCCAGATTTAAATTTCTAATGGTATCAGCTATGACCTCTGCTACACCTGCAGCAGCTTTATTTCTCCCTCTGCTCAACTCTGCTTCCTTTACTTCCTTATAGGCTTTATCCCCAGGAACGTTCTCAACACACACACACACACACACACACACACATCAATGTCCAAATTTGTTTAATGAACATGACCTCTGATAGAGGTGTGAGGGAAGCAGTCTTTTCTATCAAAGTGTGTCGCCATCTTAGCTGCTTACAGTTCCAGGTTCTTGTTCACTGAGCTCCATTTTCACTAACAATTAACCCCTTTAAGTCTTGCTTTCAAGATGGGACACTTTTCCCATCACAGATATGTCAAGACCACAAG